TACTCATGCACATGTAAATGCTCATGGACGCGGTGGCACGGCTCACATGACTAAACCATAGAAGTTTGTGGTGGGAATATTAGTGATTTGTAAGAATCTAGGATCCATTTATTAAGATGTGAGAGTATGTATCATGCATGGGTTTGTTTTATATATTTAGCCAAACTAATAATGTGTGTCCAAAATGTTTTTTTTTTTTTTTTTTTTTTTTTTTGACACATTCAAAATTTATGTGACAAGGCAATCAACTCAACCAAGGGCAGATCTAAGGGTGGCCGAAGCTGGGCTTCAGCCCACCCCTTTTTTACCATACTACTTTAAGTCCAGCCCAAAAAAAAAAAAAAAATAGTAATGGTAGCCCAGTCCAAAGTTAGCCCAATTCAAAATTAGCCCACCCCATTTAGAAAGGCTGGACCCGCCCTTGAACTCAACTGTAATTTTCCTTTTAATTAATTTCTTGAGAAGCGTGATAGTAAATTGTTGGGAGAGTCCTTGTTGTAATGCTAATGATGTGCGATAAGAGTTCTGTGACATTCTTTCTCATCTAAATCCGGACTTTCTCGTCCTGGTTAACCACCCTATATATATATATATGAAGCCTAGGCTAAGCAAAGAAAGCTCAAAGGCAAGACAAATCCTAACCACCTCTAACTACCATCACAATGGCAACCAGCAGCAAAGAGCAAAGGCACAAAAGAACATTAGTTTGCAGTAGGAGAGCTGGCAATGAACATACTCGGAAGCCTCCAATCTGCACCCTATATATCTTTTTTTTTTGGCAACCAAAACACCACTACATAACAAGATTACATAAAGTCTTCCTTGCCTACAGCAAGGATATCAATATACAAAGCCTGGCCACATGCAGAACTTGCTCGACATCATATGATTGAAAATAGATCGAGATGGAGCCAAGATATTACAGCAAGAATAATGCTCTCAGGAGCTCCAAAAACATCCCCTTTACCTCGAGCCAAGTTTTGCACCAGACCACCAATATCCACTTGACCTTTCACCAACCCCAGCCAAGGCGGTTATGAAAATCTGCCAGCAAGCTGTACAGTATCCCAAAGCATTTGTGTTCACGGTGAACCAAATCTGGCGAGTTGGATGAAAAAGATAACAAATTGTCCGGTGACCGTACTCGGTCCGCTTGTCCAAAATACCAGGAGACCAAGAGAGTGTAGACTTTCGTATGAATAGCAAAAGAGGAAAACAAATAAAGAACACAAACAGCACAACAACAGACATAGAACATTAGATCCAAAAAAAAAAACAAGAAAAAGGGTAAAAATACCTTGATCAAACGGAAATATCGTCAAACAAAGGACATTAAGTGTGCCATCATTCCAAATTGCCCATGAGGTGAGTAGAATCGCACAAGAACCCATCTAGCCAGACAAATAATATGAGCTTCTTCCGAAATTGTGGATGACAGCCATCCCCTAAAACACACTTTTGGAAAGAAATCCAAACTCTAATGAAGAGAGAACCGCTACAGGGAGAAGAATAGCCAACTCTAATGAACAGATGATAGATTACTTGATTAAATTTTGAAGAAAGGTTGGAGGATTTAAGCGGATTTTGGATTTCTCCCTCTAGATGTTTCTCTCTCACCAACCCCGAGTTGTATTAATCACTACTAGTTTTTCTACACCCAATATATTTTGTTCATTAACAAATGTGAAAAAAACAAATTTTAAATGTTTCACATCAGTATAGATAGAGAAGTGATTAATACAATTTTCTTTAGAATAGTACTTGCCTCCTCACCATTGATGCGTCTCGCAATAATAGAATTACACATGTTCATTTTAAATTTAAAATTTGTAATTAAAATGAACACGTGTAATTTTATCATTGTGCTACATCAGTGGTGTTGCATCTGAAAACTCACCGATCGCGAGTCACGAAAGCGGTGATAAGGTGGTGAACCAACTTTGATGAAGTTCTCAAGGAATAGATTGATAAAGCATCGATTTGGAAAAAGTGGATTTAAAGATAAATAGTTCATAGCAACATTTCCAAACTGTGTGAGAACAAACAAGTAGAATATAAAACGAGGGATGGGAAGTAAATTTTAAGGGATTATCAACTATCATCATTCATCAACGATATTCCTTAACTGGAGGAGGATCAAGCCATCAACAAAAACCTGCAAATAAAAGAACCAAAACATGATAAAGACTATTTAGGCATAAAGATCTTGACCAAATGATGACAAACACAAAAATACCCATCCAAAGAAAGCACCAACAAATAAATTGAAAACTTATGACAACTTTATACCCTGCAAACAAATTGGACACCATTTATTTTCAGGGCATAAAATGTTGACGAATTTAGTACTTGTTAGAAATAAGAGACATAATTGAACTCTGTATATTGATGTAAATTATAAGAGATACAAGAGGGGTTTATATAGGGAGGGTTATGAGTAATGAACAAGTAATCTTATACATATAAGGTAACTGTAATCGTATATGTATAAGGTAACTATATATTGTAATTTATACAAGGTAGAAAATATTATATAATATAGTAAGAATATATATTAATATATTCTAACAGCCTCCCTCAAACTCAAGGTGGATTGAATGAAGCCATCTTGAGTTTGGAAATGAGATCTTGAAAGCGGCATGGTGGAAGCGATTTGGTAAAAACATCAGCGATCTGATCATGTGAAATGATAGACCGGAATTGTAAGGTCTTCTAAAGAAGATGATGACGAACAAAATGACAGTCAATCCAATATGTTTAGTGCGCTCATGAAAAACATCATTATGTGCAATCTGGATTGCACTCATATTGTCACAATAAATAGGAATGGCAGTGGATGAAGAAACTCCCATGTCTTGAAGGAGCCAATGCAACCATAGAAGCTCAGAAGTAGTATCAGTTTTTTACTCTTAATCAAGAATCAGGTCAGTGAATTAATGAATTCTTCTCTCAGGTGAAATGCATATGGGATCAATTAGCTCTTTCCGAACCATCATGGGAGCATTCTTCTGAAGCAAATAAATTTATCGAGTATCGCAACCACATTCGACTTTATCAATTTCTGATAAGTCTTCATGATGATTTTGAACCAGTACGCAGTCAGCTTCTCCATCGCTCACCTTTTCCATCACTTGATCAAGCTCTTAATGAACTTGTTCGAGAAGAGACACGTTTGCAGACTCGTCGTTCTCAGAATCATATCACTATTTTAGCTACACCATCTTATGCTCCTCAGTCAGTGCCATCTCAGTCCGCACCAGATCGCCCTGCCTCATTTTTTCGACAAAATGGACGCAACAATACCAATCAGTCTGGCTCTAAGGGACGTAACAATAACAATCGTTCTAGATCTCAGCAATCCAACAACAAAAAGGACCGTTCAAGTCTTTACTGTACTTTCTGTCGGATTCCAGGGCATAGCATTGACTTTTGTCGTACTCGTGCTAGACTCTCTACTACAGCTGTGGCTAACACAAAATATCTATCAGTACCATTTTCAACACCAGTCAACAACTCTTCTAGCGAATCTACATCTGCCCCATCTATTTTCTCTGCAATTGACCTTGAGGCAGTTCTCAACCAGGTTTTATCTCGCTATCGAGGTGCATCTTCCACTGCTCTTTCTACTACAACAGGTAAACATGGTTCTTGGTATTTTGACTCTGCTTGCTTCAATCGCATGACACCTGATCCTCCCTTCCTCATATCTTAGACTTGTAAGAATATATATTAATATATTCTACCAGTACTTGAACTTGCAATAATTGTAACAATCCAAACTCGTAAGCTGTGACAAACATGGTTCCTAAACCTCAAACTACCCCAATAACAATGATTCGTACAAGATTCTGCTTCAACTCTCAAACAACAAACAAACATTCATAGTTAGGGGTGAAGAAACACTCTCTGAACACAACTAATAAATAAATAATTGATGTCCCCTATTTGAAGCAGCAGTTAATTGAAAATCTGTAAACAATATTCATTTTAAGTCGGAGTAGGGCAAACCAAAATTATTTAGAGACAGACTCAAAGCTTAACATGATTGGGCTACTCCCGGAAGTAAAATTTTCCCAATGAAATCAATTTTTAAGGTAAAAACAACTTATCTAGGTTGTGCTGAAAATAAACCCTTTGGATAAACTTCACTCTTTGAAAAATGTAAGAAACTGAGAAAATTCCAAGGCTTTGATTTTTTGGAAAGTAGACACAAATGTCTCAAAATTTGGAAATTTTGATAATGTTTCGATGTTGAAAGGGTAGCCAAGTAAATCATCCATAATCTGTTTTTCAGCAGTGATAAAAAAACGAACATGTTACATATCCAAAAATTATAAAATCTTACATAAGAACTCTAGACCCGGAAAACAAAACAGTTGTAGAAAAATGTTGTTATCATTTTGAGTTAATTTTTATAAAAAGCTCAAAATACCCTTTAAAGAATTTTAGGCATTTTTTTAATAATTAAAAATTTTTAAAATAAAGAAAATAAAAACAAACAAACAAACAAATAAATAAATAATTTTGGGGTTTTAATAAAATTTTTAAAAAATGGCCTTACTTTTTTGTTATTTATTTTAATTTTTTATTATTATTATTATTATTTTGTCTTAAGAGCATATTAGGTATCTTAAGTTGCAAATTGAAGAATTATCTATATTTGCTCAATTTAATATATATATATACATTAAGAAGTATTTATTATTTTTTTTTTTTTCGGAAGGTAAGATACATTAAGAAGTATTTTCATACCACTTATCCTATAATACTAGTTTATGGGAAGTTTCATAGTACTATTTATACCATTAAATAAAATAATTTTACAATTAATTTTATAAAACTGTCTATGTCTATATTAGAATTTTGCTTCCCCTTGTACTTCACTTCTATTGTTTTTCAGTAATTATTTATTTTAAATAAAATGAAATCCTAAAATTATTTTTAGAGTTCATTAGAAAATGCTTTTAGAAAATGAACCAAACTAATCTACTAGTATAAAACATCTGGATAGTGGATTCCAATAATGGTGTGACTGTGTTGTGTGTGCTTATATATCGATCAAGGGGGAGAGGAGCAAGCAGAGAGAGAATTTGTGTGTGGGTGCGTGTACGAGAGATAAGAGACTGTGTGAGAAAAATGGCGACGCCGTCATTCCTTGGAAACCGATACTGGGTGCTGAGACACGGTAAAAGCATCCCAAACGAGAGGGGTCTTATTGTTTCCTCTATGGTTAGTCATCTTCCATACATTTATACACGACGTACACACACATATATATACACGTATAGATTCATACATACATACATACATGTTTATTCCCAATTTCGGGTAGATTTCCAAATCATTGTTCTTTTAGTGGCATTTCATAATTAGTTATGTTGAAGCTTTTGCTTATATATTGATATGAAGGAAATAGTTTAACCACTTATCCATATTTCAGATGCGAATCCTCAGTTTGGGACTTTTCAGAAACGTAGTTACAACTATAATTATTGCTCGATCAGCATTTTTCGCTTGATATATGTACTGTACTTGAATGGGCAAATACCAATTCAGTGGTTTAGTAAGTATTGTACTTAGTTTATTTTTATTAAATTTTCCCACTTTAATGAAGTGTTCACAAATCACCTCGGCCACATAGAAAGTCAAAGGGAAAACATTTTTGTGTTTATGGGAACACCTAAGCGGTGTTTTGGATTTGGAATTGGAAGAAATTTATGTTATGTTTAGGAGCACTGAATCGGTGCCTTGACATTGGGATTGGAGAAAGTTAAGTTCAAAATTTATACTGTATTTTCTCCAATCCCAAATCCAATCGCCCCCAAACATAGCATTAGTTAAATGGATATAACATTTGTCGTTCACATAAATTATTTGTATTTCTGATTGTAGAGTGCAACATAGATTCAAATGGATATAATTGCCAATAAATATGTCGTGTGTTCATATCTTCGCCATATTCAAGAAGCTATCCATGTAAGGAGTGCAAACAATTATCTATAAACTTCACTTACAATTAATATGAATGAGATAGATCAACGAATGAACATATATATATATGTAGTCTTATGTCCGTAGATTCATGTGAATATGTGCACATTGTGCAACCATGAGACTGTTTTACTTATCTATTCTATGATATGTTCAATTTTATTTTTGCGTGATATAACTGATCAATATAGGTGTTTCTGTCCATAACAAAGATAAGGCACCGGACAAAGTGATATTGCATGATATTGGTGCCTAAAAGAGTGTTTGACTTGGTTAAGGAAAGGGGTGAAAGGACTGAAATGAGTGTCCTTGTTTCATGTAACAAACAAATATTGAAAGTAATTGATCAAATGTCTTAAATCATTGTTATTCTTACTCATTTTGTGAACCTAGTGAACTTATCAAAGTCATTTGGAATGTCAGATAATGGATTTCCACCAATCTTTCACAATTTTATTTTTATTTTTATGCATAATCCATGTTTTATGTTTGATAGACATATAAAATCTTTACATTATTATCTATACTAGCAAAATTAATGAGCTAACTAGACGAGTGAAAATTTCTATGCTCCAAAATTGACCATTTGTGTAGGGAAGGGTAACAAAGCATTGCACCAAATATAGGAGGATTCGGCCTCAAATAATTTAGCAATGATCTCTGCCAATTTTAAAAATCTATCTTATTTTTTTAGAGGCAGGGGGTAGGATTTTTGGATAAAGGAAGTCACCAAGGTACAGGGATTTTTTATTTTATTTTTTAAGAAAAATTTTTGTTCGCTTTGTATCTCTTGCTTGAAGGCTCAGATTGAGTGCTTCTTTTTTCTATTTCTTTTTTTCCTTTCCTTCAATTCTCGGTTGTTATGTGAATTTTTAAGTGCTTTGACAATCTCAATTATATAGAAACTACCATATGCTATAAATTCATTAACCAGTGCCTAGTGTCTTAACAGGAAAATGGAAAACTTGAGGAATATAAATTGGCTACTGAAGGTGTTAATCAAGCAGAGTTGGCTGGAGAATTATTCCAAAAGGTAGATGAACCTAATAAAGATTACCTGTTTGATATAAACAGCCATTTGCTTGCAATTAGATATCTCAATCGTGCATATTTAAATTTGAAAGGTTCTAATTTTCCCAGTCCTACACAGCTTTTACAAGTTCACATCTCTAGAGGTGATTGTGCATGAAATACCGCATCTGCTAGGGGCCTATTGCTTCAGATCATGCAAGCATCAGTATGACAGTTTATTGACAATACAGTCATATTATTTTTCTTGAACACACTGTAAATTTTTATATTTGAAAATACTATAGTTTGGCTGATTGTTAAGCTAGATAATCTTCTAGATAAAAATTATGGTTGGATCTTAGGATGATTGGCCATGTTACTACTTGTATAGAAAGCCTTTAATGTGCTCTTAGCAGAGATTGAGAGTTAGTCAAATTGTTTAAGAGTCATCTTTCTGTTCTGGATGCAAAACCAGTGAGTCCAAAAGAAATAAAATATCGTCTTAAACTTATGTTAGTAATCATTTCCTTTTCCCTCCTGAATGTCAAGAACCAGTTTTTCTTGCACGTTAAAACACTTTGGTTAAGACACTTGTTTTTCAAACACTATTGAGTTTAAAAGGAACTAAAAGGGCTAGCCCAGTGCACGAGACTCCCACCATTGTGGGGTCTAGGAAGGGTCAGATGTACGCAGGTCAAATTGTTGCAACCTTACCATTGCGCCAAGGCCCACACTTAGTTTAAAAGTACCTTCTTTATCTAAAACTTCCATAATCTAGATCAATTACCTTCAATTGCATAATGGTAGCATCAAATCTAGTATGGTTTATGTCCCATCCTTACCAAAGGTGAAAGTGATGAAACTACTAACAAACACTGTGGACAGATAGTTCTTTTTAAACAACTTCCACATTTCTAAGTACTGAAATGATCAAGTAGTGCATGGTTCAGGTCATGATAGCCTTACCTGAAGATAAAAATAGTGCAAGTAATTTTATGTATTAGATGTTTATCTTTCTTTTAAAATAAATTTTAATGTCTCAAATACCTAAAGGAAATTATTAGGTCTTGTATGGTTTAGGTCCTATCCTTGTAAAAAGGTAAATGAAAAAATGGACACTGTAAGATGCCTTATGTTTAGGCTTCTCTTTTCTAAATGCATAAAGGTTGGATCAAGTTTAGTATGTTTTAGGTCCTATCCTTACAAAAGTTACAAAAATAAGTAGTTCCTATTATGTTCTCCATGTTTGCCCTATTTATCTAAAATATATATATATATGTTCTCCATGTTTGTCCTTTTTTGATCAACTTTTCGTGATCCTAAAGTACCTCAACATGGGATTAAATTTAATATGATTTAGGTCCTATCATTAAACATGTACAACTTCCACAAAGTACTTCGTGTTTAACCTTTTCTTTTCTTACTATCTAAAGAATAGGATTAAATATAACGTGGTGATCTTACTCTTATTGAAGGTTGACACAAATCAAGTGCTATTATGATGGATTCTAGGCACTCCGTTGTATAGATCTCCTGATTTTATCTCTTTCAACCTATGAAGCACGGACACCGACACGGGACACGGGTACGATACGACACGGACACGGGGATACATTAAATCTCAAAAAAACAGGACACGGACACGGTAGGGACAGGACACGGACACGGTAGGGATACGGTAATAAAATAATAATATAATTTTATTATATATAAAAAATAATTCATAATTCATATAATTTAAGTTCATTATATATTCTATTTTCTTTTTTCTTTTTTTTTTTAAAAAAAAAAGAATTTATAGTCTCAAATTTATTAAATTACAAAGATAATAACTTATATCCAAATAGAACTAGTTAAACCTTGTGACCAAACAAGTGCTAAGGAAAAAGATGAGATATATCTACTCTCTCCTCCTCATCCACGTGTCTTATCTTTCTGGACCTTCTTATCATCTTATCTCTAGCCTTCCTTTTCTCTCACCAAATCAACAGAGCAAAGAACGAATCTCTACCCACTCTAGACAACGCCGTCTTTGGAGGCAGCGAATAAGTTGCGAAGGAAGGATGGGTGAAGAAGGAGAGGGGCGGTGACGGCGAATGAATGGTGTGAGGTTGCCCAATTCAGAGGAGGTTGAGAAATCTTAAATTTTTACGGTGTCGTCGGCGCCAGCGACAGAGCCGGAGACGTTAACCGACTTATGGAGAAAAGGTAGGAGGGGAAGGAGAAGAGTAGTGGGATTGGGATTGTTTGAGTTCCCGTGTCCTCCGGCGTATCGCTGCCGTGTCTCTCCGTGTCCATTATTTATTAATTTATTAAAAAAACAGGATACGTTTTTTAGGTGTCGGACACGTGTCCAAGCTCTAGGCACGCGTGTCTGTGTCGGACACGTGTCCGACACCGGTACGCATACCCTACATGCCGTGTCGGTGCTTCCCAGCTTTCAACTATCACTTTTATCTTATTTATTTTTCTTCACATAGTTATGGCCTTAACTTATATTGCATGCTAAACACAATTCTAAAAATTTAACTTGACTTATGGGAATTATATAGAGAATTCCATAGAGAATTCCATTAACTGTTCGTGTGGATGTCTAGGATGCCTTGTAGCTTTCCATAATATATTCAAGTTCTCAAATCCATAATTTTATTGTAGAATTACTATGGAAGCGCTAATATGAAGAGACTTTTCAAAGCACCTTTTTTTTTTTTTTTTTTTTTTTGAGATAATTTTCAAACATGTTTTTCATAATTTATTTAGTTAACTTAATTGTGCCACAGTTAAGCGTTTCTGTCCAATCACTACATGGACACAATACAGTGTCTCACTCTCAGAGGTGCCCCTTGAGTTTATTTGGTATCAGTAGCAATAGCCTTTTTTCCCAGTTTGCTGGTCCCTAATTATAAGTTCTCGCTGAACACAGCCTATAGGAACCAGGCTATCTACCGCTTTTAACCCTGTTTGCATAGGCTCATGTTAGATGGTGACTCCTAATTCTTTTATGAAGCCCCTAAGCAATCAATCCTTGTCACTTAACCTTCCTTACTCTTTTTACTAAGAACACTCGTTGTTGAGAAAAAATCAGTGGTGCAACGTCTTTATTATCCAGTAAGAAGATCTTGAATGAATTCCTGAGATAAATTTGTGACTAACTACTATTTTTAAAAGATTTCAAAACTGAGACATGTGCGTGTGTATTGACTTGGGGATTTTGTACTTTTTTGTGTACGGACTAGTATATGTTTGTGCACAAATTACTCTTTTACAAGCTAAGTGTTTTATGTGTGCAGGAACTGATGGAGAATAGCATACCATTTGAAAAAGTTCGAATTTGCTACTCCCCGTTTTCACGAACCAGTCACACTGCTAAAGTTGTTGCATCTGTTCTGAATATTCCATTTGAAGGTCCTCAATGTAAGGTAAGCTATCCCATGCTTGGCAAGATTCATTTCATGAAGCATAGCTTGATAATTAAGGAACTCCAATATAGGAGACAGTAAAATTATTGGTATTCAGTGAACACCCAACCTTATGATGGTTGGAAAGGCATATTATGGCAGGCAAACCCTATCTCTTACCCTCTTCATCCACACACATAAATAATGATAACAACAACAATTATGATGATGATGATGATAATAATAATGATAAAGATGATGATAATGTTTTAAAAAAGTAAATAATAAACCATCACGATTTTATTACATTTACTTGCGTTCTCTTTTGGAAGATTTAGCTTACTTTAGTTGGATGTCTGTTTCCATGAACATATAACTCTTTGGTAGGTAACAAGAGTACAGTTGTATAACTTGCATTTTTACACATATATGTATATGTATTAATCTCTGAATTTTTTTGCCAAAATGAAATATACTAAGGCTGTGTTTGGCGGCGTGGAATTGGAGCCTTGGAATTGGAATTGGAATCGGTGGAATTGGAGAATAATGGTTCAATTTTCTGAGTTGCTTTTCTCTAATTCCACCAATTCTAATTCCAAAGCTCCAATTCCATGCTTGCCAAACATAGCCATGAATTTTCTTTTTAAGAAAATATGTTTCTGAAGTGTTTTTGCCAACTCATCAAGATTCCTTTAAATTTGTATTTAACTTTTCAGTGTTGTTGAGCTTTTGGTTTTCATTTACTCTGACATTCGAGTAATTTTGCCGGACAGGTTGTAGAAGATCTGCATGAGCGTTACTTTGGTCCTTCATTTGAACTTATGTCTCATGATAAAGTAAGTAATTTGTTTGAGAGGTTGTGTGTTGAAATTATGAAGGTAAAAGAGGCTGCCAAAGGGCTTCGGTCTTGGTATGCATTTCTTGTTTGAGCTAAAGTTGAGTTGATTTATGTTATGTCAACATTAACAGCCAATTTGTTTTTAGCTGGATTATAATGTGGTTTTTCATCAATGCCATGAGAACTTTGAGAATTTTCTTTTTCTTCTCTTTTTCCCCTTTTTTTGTGTGCATGTATGTGGGCCCACTCTCGTGCACTAAGCACAAAACTTTTTTTCAAGCCTGATTATAATGTGGTTTCTCATCAATGCCATAAGAGCTTGTGTTTTTTTTTTTTTTGGGGGTGCCTTCGTGCGTGCACGAAATTCAAAACTCACACGCGTCCAAACCCCAGCCAGTATGTGAGCCCTGCACCTTACCCATTGGGAGTGGCAGTATATACCATTCTAGCCTCCCAGCTGGTGGTGAGTATATTTTTGGCTTTGACTTTATATTCTTTACTCTCTTTCCCTGACAGTATGCGGAAATATGGGCTCTGGACGAGAAGGACCCATTTATGCAGCCAGAAGGTGGAGAAAGTGTTGCAAATGTTGTTGCTAGACTTACAAGTGCTTTGGTAACCATGGAATCAGAGTATCAAGGGTATTATGTGCATCTTTTTAACACTGTCTACCTTTGGGAATATAATTTCTCGGTTAATAACACCTACTTGTGAATAAATTTGTGATGTTGTGAAGGTGGAGGCACACTAAATGGTTGAAGATTATTTTAATCTAATCTTCTTTGTTTTACTATGGACAAGCAATATTTTTCACTCGCTCCCAGGTCCCTCATTAGTTGTACTCCAGTGAGACAATACCTCAAACCCCTGTTCTCTCGTTAGTTAACAACAGCATTGAGTTTGATTCTCCTTTTTGAAATAACTTGTGCCCTAACTTTTTTGTGATAGGCCTACAGCCTACTGTGTGCACTTAGCCATATTTTTGCACATTAGATATCTGAAACTGACAATACAATGCATTTGTGTTGCAGATGTGCAATCTTGGTGGTGAGCCATGGTGATCCCTTGCAGATTTTTCAAACAATACTCAATGCAGCTAAAGAAAACACAGTAAGCAGTAGCAATGACTTGGCAACGAGAATACTGTCGGTTAAAGTCCCGTCTGTCCTCTCAAAGCACCGGAAGTTTGCCCTGCTGACTGGAGAACTCCGGGCAGTTGCATAAATTGTAGCCTCTACTTAGCAGGCAAAGCTTATGCTCCCGTCCAAATATTACCGAAATTTATTCTTTTGCATGACCAGATTTTTGTAATAGCCATGTTGTTGCCAAAATTATTGGGTCATGGCATTTTGATTTAAAGGCCTTGTACATTGCAACTATGATTAATAATGTAGCCTTGTGTTGTTCTTTAGGACAGAGACGGGCATGTTAGGAGCAAAAGGGACCGATATTCCCATGGATTCAAATATCAAGTTTAGCCCAGATGAAGCGAGCTTCTTAATGTTGGTATGATTTTGAGCTCGATATTAGGGGAATAGCAGAAGAATATTTGAAAACTCTCTTTCAGTCTGTCTGACGATGTGGGAATGGTATTTTCCACATTTCTGTTCCTTGACAAAGCACAAAATTTGCGCATGTATTGAAATGAAGTTTTTCAGGATATCTCTCATTGGTGGGATGGGAAGGAGGGAAGGGAAGAGGGGGAAGCAATTTTCTTGTGGACACTAGGGTTGGGTTGCTGCTACTCGGGCAGGTTGGGTGATATATTTGCTTCAAGATGATTATTATTTTTTCTTTATTTTTATTTTTGTCTCTGATTTCAGAATTAATTCAAAATTTTAATAATTTTATAAAATGGCATATTTTTTAGTATATTAAAAGAAAGAGTGAGAAGAAGTGAAGAAAAGAAAGGAGAAAGTGTAGAGTGGCAGATTTTGTATTTTATGTCAATGGACAGAAAGTAAAATATAATTAAAAATAAATAACAATATTTTTTTAATAAGGCCACTCAGTTTGATTGAAAGTAAGTTTTTAATGATAGTGCTTTAACCATAAGGTAACAACTTCTCATTACACCTTTGCCCTCTTCAGATTCAGTGCTTAAGGAAATGAGCTCACTATCACACATTTTTTTGATGAATTTTTTTTTTTTTTCTTAATTGATTAAACCGTCGAATGAACTATGATATGACAAAAAAATTTAAAACTGTGTAGCCTCTTAATCACCACCCTAAACTATTAGAAGTTATCCATAGAAAATATATGGTCAATCTATTGAAACTTTTAAAAAAAAATTCTAATATTTGGATTAAGAACAAAACTCCCTTTTAATCATAAGAATTTTTTATATTATCCCTATTTAAGGGGGATAATTTATAGTAATTTTTTATTTCATTGGAAGAAACTTGCATACTTATTTATCTTTAAAGCGAGTTAGTAAAGAGTATAAAGACAAATCTAACGTCACTTAACTAGAAATACAATACTAGTCTTATAGTATAATTATAATTCAAACTTAAAATTAAAGACGGCGTCGTATCGTATGGTCCTTTTCGCACTCCCCGATGTTGTATGTTTTTCCCAAAGGTTAGGGTTGTAGGGCTCTGTGTCAGAGAATCCAGAAACTTACATATTCCAGAGGAAAGAGCGATTTATATAATATATATAGAGAGAGAGAGAGAGAGAGAGAATGAGCAGAAGCTTGGGAATACCAGTGAAGCTATTGCACGAAGCATCAGGGCATATAGTGACAGTGGAGATGAAGAGTGGAGAGCTGTACAGAGGAAGCATGGTCGAATGCGAAGACAACTGGAACTGCCAACTCGAAAACATTACCTACACCTCCAAGGTAACCCATTCCTATCTTCTGTCTCTCTTTCTCTCTACATTTATATATATATATATATATGTATATCATGATTATGCAATGCATATAGGGTTTGTGTCCATTAAAATTTCTTATCGCTTGAACAGTAAAACCCTTAGCTGAAATTATAGTTAGTCAAAGATCTATGTTGATGGAAATTATAATTCTTTCTGTTTGGTTGCCGAGAATTGAGTGAAATCAAGACAAAAGGACAAGATAAGTTTAAGGGGTTGAATTTGATTGAGATCCAAAGGTCAGTTCTTGACCTAACTACAAGGATGATACAATGTAGAACCTATAAAAGAAAAGATACTTGAAATTACTAGTCTTAGAATTAAATTCACCGAAATAAATATTTGAATTTTTTTTATTGATCTTGTGATAGTTTTTTCCTCGAATTCATTCAAGATATTATAATATAGAAGGATACAATGTAGAACCTATAAAAGAAAATATAGTAGAAATTACTAGTCTTGGAATCTTGTTCGACCAAAATAATGATTTGATTTTTTTGAGTGATCTTTTGATAATTTTTTACTCGAATTCATTCAAGATATTATGTGAATGAACCTACTACTGAATCTAATGACTGACTATGAACTTCTTCAAATCCTAGTGAGACAAATCCTATGTTGGTGTAATTGATTATTATCTCTTACTTCAGCTTTATGCATTTTGTAATTTGATGTTTCTGCTACTGAAGGCCCCTTATTTGTTGAGATACACGCACCCTCTTTTTTTTTTTTTTTGGGCTTAATTTTCTCAAAATGATGAATCATTCTGGTGTTGTACTTTGTAGGAGTTGTACTTTGTATGTTTTGGTTCTCTCTCATAAGCAATACAACAGAATATGTAAAGAATCAATTTCCTTTTCGTTTCCAAGTTTAACCATTAGCCAGAACATAATTGCTACTTTGCTAAAAAAAATGGATAAGGAGATTTGGAAAGTGAACCTCTTGAAAGTTGTATAAAGATTAGAGTCACATGGGAATGGGATGGTGAACAAAGTTTTCTAAGATTGTAAAGATTAGAGTTACATGGGAATGAGATGGTGAACAAAGTTTTCTAAGATTGAGAATGAGTTCAGCTTCTACAACATCAAGCTCACACTGTCAGCCTTTGTGAACAGGGAGTAATTTGAAGCAGCATTTACATTTTAATCTTTTATAACGAAAATGTTAATAAGTAACATATGATTGGTTGTTTGTCACAAATCTATGCATCTTTGATGGGGGTAAAAGAGTTGTATTTACTAACGGATGTTTCTGTATTTTCTATAGGATGGGAAGGTATCTCAACTTGAACACGTGTTTATACGAGGCAGCAAAGTAAGGTAACCAGCTTATTGTTTCTTGGGAAAGTTTATAAGCAATTAATCACTGCTTAACCTTCCTTTGGGAGCGCTCCCCTCTTGGGCGCCTTTAATGAAATCTTACTTCTGAAAAAAAAAATTAATCACTGCTTAACCCCCCTTATATGAAGTGATAAACTATTTCAGGTTCATGATCATCCCAGATATGCTGAAGAATGCTCCTATGTTCAAGCGTCTGGAATCTAGAATCAAGGTACTACGCATTTCTCATCACATGTTTATTCTCTTTTGTTTTTGTAGATGCTGTTCCCATTGTCAACCGACAATAATTTGCTTTCATTATTTCTTGAAGGGTAAAGGCTCAGCTCTTGGAGTAGGCGGTCGTGGTCGTGCTGTTGCCATGCGAGCAAGAGTAAGCTCTTTTTTTCGGTTCAATATACATCTCTCAATTCAATTACCAGCTTTGGGAACATTTAGTCATTTACCGAGAATAAATTAAGTTAGACACGCCTTTTTACATTATCTTATATTCTGTTTACAGGGTCAAGCTGCAGGGCGTGGTGCTCCACCTGGCAGGGGAGTTGTACCACCCGTGCGGAGGTAATCCATCACTTGGCTGGGTTTCCATCCGGTATGCTTTTGTAGGGTTTCCATGCCATGGGCATCATGGCGACGACTCTGTTTCGAGGATATTTCAGATGTTTGCTTCTTCTTCTGCTGCTTGATCTTTTTAAACTATTGGGGGTCATTTTAAAGTTTCATTAGCACTTGAAGGGCATACTGGGGATACTCTTAGATTTGTGATATTAGCTAGAAAATGGGACAGTGCAGTCCTTGTTAGGTCTTCTTCACATGTGTAATAAGGAAGCTAATAGAAGCTTGCTTAAGGGATCCATGTAGACGTGTCAATGAACCGGAATCTCATCCGAATTCGATCTGATTACTCAAATATGGATAAAAAAAAAAAATCGATTACCCGATTACGATATGAATCCAATTCTTTAACAAATTGGATATGGATTTATATTGATTTGGTCCGATAATAATCCTATTCGATTAAATATATATGTATATAATAATATTTTATATTATATATATACAATACATTTATATTAGATGTAACCAAATAAAAATTAAAAAATAAAGAAATAATCATAATATTCTATTTACAATAGTGTGGTGTTCTCAGTCATATATTAATACATCTACTAATATACATATTAATAATGTCATAATATTTAGGATAAAGTATAATTACACCCCTAAGATTAGCCGTAAGGATAAACATATACAAGGTGATTGTTTTTCGGACAATGGCGTACCTGTCAGAATTATCTTCCAAACAAGGCTTTAAATGATTCAAAAAGACAAAATTGCCCCTAGTAATAAAATCAGTTTTATTTTAAAGTATTAGACATGTTTGAAATGTCGAAATTACCCTTGAGTAAATATGAGTAGCAAAATGACACCAATTTATTGTGCTGAAATTTATTATTTTATCAAGGTAGTGTAATATTTCGATTGATATGACATTTTTATCGAGGGTTTGTCTACATGTCAAGTTACTCTGAAAAATTTCACAATTTTTGGCCAAATAGATATTTTTATAAAAATTTGACAACAACTGTTATCTAGAGAATTTTTCACTGTTTGAAATCAGTTTTTTAATTTATTTATTTGATAGCCTTCTGGACATCGGATCATTACCAAAATATTCAGTTTTATATTTCTATGAGTCTATTTTTCAAAACATTTTCGTTTGCTCCGTTTCGATTTCAAATGAATTTTCTGTAATTATCTTCCACTTTTTTGCATCAAATGTTAATGATAGGTAGATTAGTCCAATTCATTAAGTTGTAAAGTTAAAAAGGTTCACTAAAAGATCAAAGGGCAAGTTGGTCAATTCTCCATGTCATATGTGGCAGGTGGCCACAGGGGTGTCTTTGTCAATTTTTTCAAACTTTAAGGGGGTGTCATTGTCCGAAAAACAATCAACTTGTATATGTTTGTTCTTATGACAAATCTCAGAGGGTGTCATTGTACTTTACCTTAATATTTATCATTTAAAAAAAAAAAAAAAAAAGCACTTTTTCTTTCATATTTTATTTATCTTTTGTTTTCTATCATTTTTTTTTTTTTTTTCTAATCATTATATATATATATATATATATATATATATATATATATATATATAATTACACTTTTATCAGATTAGATATCTATTTATTAACAAATCGGATATGGATTCATTTACAAAAAATTTGGTAGTTTATTGGATCGAGTAAAATGCTTATCGGATCAAGCAAGATCAGATCCGAAGCAGACCCGTTGAAAGGTCTAGTTCCATGTTCTCATAGGGGCAAAGTTTGTTTGTTTGGGAATTTCTTGCTAAGGCAAATAAAAAAAGAAAAAGAAAAAAAAGTCAACTTTGTTATAAATCTTAGGGTTTAAATCATAAAACCCCCTATATTCATTTTTTATCATAAAACTCCAACTTATTTTTAAAAATCTCTATACTTTTAAAAAGTGTTTACATTGCCCCAATATCTGTATCTAACCGTTAATTGGACTATGAAATGACAAATTTGACCTTACCATTTAATATTAAATTAAAAACTAAAAATTATTTTTTAAAATTACAAAAATACCCTTCTCTTAAACTCTCACCCCTCTCCCTCTCTCAAACTCTCACCTCTCTCTCTCTCTCTCCAAATAAAAATTAAAAAACGTTTGCATTTAATCTATATTTTTACCAATTTCTCGTAACACTTTGACAGAATACCCACGTATCATATAGTTTTCTTTTACCACATTTTACTATGTAATTTTTTTATAAAGTGCCTATTTGTCAAGGAAAAAATGCTACTAATCAAGCTATATTAATTTATAAAAAAAATTTATAATTTATAAAAAAAATTTATGTGAAAGAAATAACTATTTATAGCATAATTGTAGCAAAGATGCGAATCATTAACTCTAATATGGAGGAGTGCGGATTACTCTGGGGACTTCCTTTGTATATCCAGCTCAAGACTCACAAAAAGTGAGGTTTGAAAATGATGCACGTGATTTTGTTGGAGATCGTTTGCATCAAAATCCAACGTCATTGATCAGTGACTGTATAATGATCTACTGTGAATGCGAGCCATGTGAAAATTCTTAACAGAAAAATTATGTGGATTTATTAATCATTTAATGAACACGGAATAAATGGATATATATACGAAAAAGTAAATTTGTACTATATTTTTCAAATATCTGACCCTGCAGTGTCGAACGAGGCAGAGATGAATAATATGTGTAATAAAATTTTAACCAACCATTGCATATCAACTATAAATCAAACATCAAATTTAACAGCAATTTTCAAGCCACTACACCACCAAAATACTCAAAATATTCTAAGATGAAGAAGGAGAGGTGATGGCATATATTTGACAGCAAAGAAACAGTGTCCTGCTAACCAATCAAATATGAAATAATTCTGCCAATCTACACTCATTTTACAACATCTCTGGAGGAACGTCATTCTCACCTTCGATACACAATTTGATTTCATATTCTACAATTGGCAGCTGCACAGTAGGAAAAGAAAAAACGTAAACCACACCGTAAAACATTATATCACAAAATGCATATTATAATGCAAAACAAACATATTTCACACAAGTGGTTTAAACTTTTATTATAGAAGACGAGAGACAGTTATCTCGAGGTCAGGGCAGGTAGAGTAGCTTCAAAATAGGACCACACTGAATTCCACCATTGGATGAGCATATGTATGAGTACTAACTAAGCCAAGACTAAAGACAATGGAGCAATCAAACCCAACATTTATCCACCATGCTACATCATTACATGCTTATTTATGTTTTTCATTCATTTATATCATTACATGCTGCTTATTTAAATGCAACGAGTAGCAGATTCTCAGCTGCAAAAGATATATGTATCAAGGATGAGCACAAAGAGTGGCAAGCAGATCGTAAACAGAAGGTCACTGCATTCGAATTGGATCAACCTGGATCCAGTCTGAATCTAATCCGTTTACAAGTCTAGTCACACCCTAAATTACATGAAGCGGAAGTGAGAGTGTGATAGCATTAAAATCTAATTTTTATTTTTTTACAACGAGCATTCTTAGAGTGTCTATTTGTTGTATATATTATGTATATTGATTTGTCTCACATTATAGATGATCATATTAATTTATTACATATCACGTTTTTGTAACTTTTCTACAATGTGTATGCAAATACATGTTCAAATTCATTATTGTTGATTGAATCAATCAAATATTAGAAGTAGTTTAATAAAAGGACTATTCAAAACATTTCACAAACAGAAAATTGCTCTGTTGTCAGCATCACCAAGTCACTTAGACTGTGCAGCTAATCAAACATAGATTGCTTGGTTATTCTAAATGAATCCACAGATTTGCAACGGATCAGCTCTGAAATCACAGGTTGATGCTTGAAACGTGGGGCCACACCCATGCACAAATCATGTGACTTAATCACACCATGGCCATAAACTGAGCTCAAGGAGCTCCCTCAATCCCGCTCCCAACCCATGTAAGCATTAAAAACGTATCAGGTTGTAAGCACGTTGTGGCAAGCTTTTAATGGAAAAGAGCAAGGTGATGGAGGTCTGTTTTGAAGACAACAGATTATGAGGCCATAGATTACACAGTCAAACATGCAAAGGATAGGACACCATGCAGTTGGAGGTTGCATGGTACAAACCATGTGAAGTCCAGATATGGTACCTCATGTCTGGGGTATTGTACGGTTTAGGAGATAGTCTTTTTTTTGTGGTGATCTCTTCGTGGAGAATCCCCTCTTTGGTTCAATTAATTGAATAATTAAGAGGCACCATGTACGTTTGACTGAGGGACTAACATAAGTGGAGCACACCATGGAGATTCAACATGTGCCGTGATACCAAACGACCATGGAGATTCAGCACATGATCATATAGCATAAAAATCGTCCTCTGAAGAGTCCCTTATTACGGTATGGCAATATGGCTTATGGGTCATTGTGGTGATACGAAACGAGTGACAACATGGGAGTCTGGCAATGTGCTATGCGGGTTGCTATCTAGGTGACACAAAATGTATTGGTGTCATAATCCCATAGTTTGAAGAGCTCAAACGTTGCAGATGCTTTTCCCCATAATGCATTGAATACCCTAGTAGAGGCATTTGAAAATTTGAAGGATCCAGATAACAACAAAATGACTGTCAGATCAGTATACTTACTGCAGTATATAAACTGGTTGAGGTCAAGAGTCACCCTGCCTTGCTTGCTTGTATCAAATGAATTAAACAGGTTCCTGCAACATACAAAATGGAAAATGTGTAACCAATCTGCCAAGTAGCAGAATAAAATGTAATGTTGACCAATGATGCTATTCATTTTGCGGCTCCAAGCCTGTTGATACACTTATCTTTATCCAAAATAATAATAATAATAAATAAATAAATAAACGTACAGTTGACCAACACACTACATACAGAAATAGCAGAACCAATTACAATAAGCCTACTCATTCAAGATCATGCACTACCAAAGCATACTGATTCATGACAATGCACTTCCAAAGAGTGAAATTATTCTGAAAAACTACATTTTACAATTGAAATAACCAGGTTAATAATCTATAAGGTAGAATTCATTGAATATCTTAACAATCTTTAATTTCAAATCGTTGTTTGAACAAGGCGGCACAATAAATGCTAGATTCCAAATTCAGAGGTTTTCACCTCGTGTCACAAACCCTCTATGGTGTGTGCACGCACATGCACCCATTTACAAGTAACGACTCTGTATTTCATCTGGTTGAAATTGACCTAGGAGATTGTGATGGGATAAATTAACTGTGGGTGTAGCATATCCGTGTACACGTGACTTAATATTTTTCTATATCATCCATAATGCTCCCTTAAAAAAGATGGAATATAAGATATATGATTAAGGATTTAGATTTATGTACCGTGCAGACTGTATAAATATACAAAGAGATATGAAATCATCAAGCCGGAATCTTCCATTCTTCTTTTGATCAAAACTCTGCACAATCGTTGGAAAAAGAAGGGATTTTCAGATTATATTAGTTCAAATCACGCATTTGCAATTTATCCCACCCCCAGAATGATTAACATTTAAGACATAATATATGTAGATTAAGATTGTATAACAAATAAAGTGCAAATCAAGGCAATATCAGACGAAACATTTTGAGCATCACAAGGATATATTATAGAAGAATCAATTTAAAAGGTCAAAGGTTGAATATATAATTATATAGATTAATTAATCAACAAACAATTTGCTGGCATCCAATTTAGTGTATCCTGTTTCGTATCAATTAATTATGTTCTCACCAATCAAGATAAAGGTATATGCTTTACCTCACAGACAGTATAAAATGAAGGTGAGTCAAGGGAGAATCCAATTTTCACCAATGCCTATGAAAATGAAGCAACCGTTAAAAGGAAGAAGAAAGAAAAAACGGTTAGAGAGAGAAAAATGGAACAGAATTTTACTAGACAAGTTTTGGTCTTAGCCACACTCATCCTTCCAAAAAACAAATGCAGTCACTCATATTGAGAGCCCATCATATACATGATTCTTTTTTTCCCCTTACCTCATACACATCATCAGGAACAAGGAATCCACGACCCCTGTCACAAAGAACAAAAGTAACAAGATAGTGTATGTATCAATATGCAGAAAAGAAAAAAAAAAAAATTAAATGTCAAATATATATATGTGTGTGTGTGTGTGTGTATTGCAACCAACAAAACTACAAAAATTAAGAGTGAAGTTCATACATTAAGTTGTATAGATGTGGTCAAGCGACAGACACTGAAATGTTTACAAGCCTTTAACAAATTCAGCTATAGCTTCTCATGCTAGCAAAATGTACCTCAAACATCATATTTAGAGAATGAATCCAAATCCTAAAATATGGTTTAGTTCACTGACTGCTTTCTGATGAAATTGGATGATAATGTATAACCTACATTTAATGACATGATCCACTAAAGGCAAAAGTGAATTATGATGGATCCAGCTGTCATTTCTATCTAGACCAGGTTCTACAAAATTAAATAGAATTTAAAAGACACTACGTAGTTAAAGTTACATGGCATATACATGGTAAAAACATTGGGCATAAAACTACATAAAGTTGGGATAGCAAGTGGTGAGTCACCTCTCCAAGTCAGCGAAGGCATGTTGAACCTGCAAAGAATTCAAAAGAATATAAATAGATCAAATCAACTTAAAAAAATAAAACAAGATATATTTATTCAGCTAGCTATAGAAAATATATCCCTAGAACTACAAATTTTGGGTTTTGGAGGCGGGAGAAGAAAAAACTTTAAGCAAAATTCCAGCCAAATCTCTAGATCACTTCAGCTTCTGAAGCAAAAATATGTTTCACCAAACCTTGTATTATAGACCATAAAAACAATTGCTGGGTCTTCAATTCTTGATCAGATTATACATGTTATATGGGAGATTGATACACAACATAAAAACTAGTCCATGGTGATCGTATTATTGCCTCATGCTGTTAATTCCTCATAACGGGTGTGGCTCCTTGATTTTCCAATAGACCCAAATCCACTTTCAAAATAGTAAATAATTCTAGGAACAATGTCATGTATTGAAAAGACATTAACAATGACAAAGAAACACCAACTGTATTCCTAATTGAAATGAGCACATATATAATGACATCATTGCCCCAGACAATTCTAGAATTACAAGTCAACAATCTAACGCACATGACACAGTACAAGGCAAGCAATGAATTATGACATTTAACTCAAAAGAAAAATGCTACATGGATCAAAACTCCAATGTAAAATATAAATGATGATTACACTAACCTTAAGAAGAAACTTGTTAAGTGCAACAAATTCTGAGACACAGAAAAAAGCAAATTTAACAAGGTCAGAGAGATCAAGTAAGACCAGATCAAAACATTACAGAAAGCACAAATCTCAGAAAAAGATACTCATAACATAATTTTGTTTGTCAAAGATTAAGTGTACTGGGAATATGTGAACTCCAGGAAGCATAGAATCATCAATATAAAAACAATTTCTTTCTCAGTTCAATAATTAGAAAGCTACATAAATTATAGTGGATGACTTTGATCACGGAAGAAAATCACATGCTGTGATAAGCTAAAGTTGTATTTGTTTATGCAATTCTTGTCAATTATCAAAATTAATACAAGCTATCATCCTATATTTCTTGTCTTCTGCGACTTTGCCTGTGGGTGTCAATTCCACCTTTCTCACTCTCATTCCAAAAAGTAACCATGGGGACAAAATTGCCAATTACAGGCCTATTGCTCTCTGCAATCTCTCTTACAAAATAATATCCAAAATTTTGGCTAACAGACTTAGCATGGTGCTTCCCAACATTATTGGCCCTGAACAATCAACTTTCATTAAAAATAGGAGAATTCATGACAATATTCTTCTGGTTTCTGATTTGGTTAAGAAATTTGGCCTTAAGAAAGGTGATCCATCTATGGCTCTGAAGGTAGATTTGAAGAAAGCATATGATTCTGTGGATTGGGGCTATCTACAACATATTTTAGATCTATATGGATTCAGTGAGAAGTGGATTACATGCATCATGCAGTGCATTTCAACTTCTAAATTTTCTGTCCTGTGCAATGGAGTCCCTGCAGGCTACTTCACTGCTTCTAGAGAACTTTGACAGGGCTTCCCTCTATTTCCTCTCCTATTTTCTCTAGTAACTGAATATTTCTCAACTATAATGTCAAATGCCATCAATTCTGGTGCTATCAAACCTTGCATTGCTGTGGTAAAAACTGGTTTGAAGACATCACATGCTTTTTATGCAGATGATCTTCTTATGGTGATCAAAGCTGATTTATCCACTGCCAAGGCCATTGAGGATGTGTTCAATAGGTTTAAAGCTGCCACTGGTCTTCAGGTTAACAAGGACAAAAGTTCCATTATTTTTTCAAAGGCTGTTAGAGGTAGAAGGAGGCTTTTAAATTTTATACAATTCAAGGTTGAAACATTTCCATTCAGATATTCGGGAATCCCACTCTCCAATGCTGCATTGAAGACAGTGGACTGCAGATTACTCTTTGACAAAGTTAATGAATGCAAGACTGGATCATTGGAATATTATAAACCTTTCTCTAGCAGGCAGGTTAGACCTTCTCAGATCATTTTTATATTCATTTTTGTATCACTGGATTTTTGGATTTAAAATCCCTCGGAACTGTAAGATGCTGTTGGAAAGTAATTTCAAACAATTCCTATGGAATGGAAAACAGGATGTCAAAAAACTGGCTCAGCTCAAGTGGAGTCAAGTCACTCTTCCTGTGGCTGAAGGTGGGTTTAACATCAGAAGAATTGCTGACATTGATTGTGCTGCTAAAATATATGTTTGCTGGGATTTTGTCCAGAAAAAAAAGATAAGCTGTGGATTAACTGGCTTCGTGCCACCTATCTGAAGTCAGCCTCTTTTTGGCATGTTGTACCAAAATCTACTGCCTCTGCACTCTGGAATCAATTGTTGCTGTCAGAGATTCATTATTGGAAAATTATTTTTTCCAGGTGAGAGATGGTACAGCTTTCAACTTGCTAACTGACCTTTGGTGTGCTAATCAATCCTTGATACAAAGATTTGTTGCTACTAGATTCAGGCAATTTCACAGGAGTTCTTCTCTGGCTTCCATCATTGACAGTGGCAGTTGGTCTTTTCCTCCCTCATTTCCTACTGTGGCTAGGGAGTTCATTCAGAGGCTTGATATCCATAATGGACCTGATACCATTATATGGAAACATGAAAAATTCTCACTGAAGGCAGCCTGGAAAGCTTAGAAGTCAGATTCTCACATGGACACTGTTGCAAGCACTGCAGACCTAGAGTTGCTGTGACTGTCACCATTATCCTTCACAATAAGAATTTATCTTTTGTGAACCTGAAGAAAAGAGGCATCTATCTCACTTCAGTTTGCCACAACTGTTTTTCTGATGAAGACTCCAATGATCATATTTTCTGCAAATGTGGTTTTGCATATGCTGTGTGGAAAGGTCTATTTGACCTGCTGCAGCTGAACCATCCTTCATTATCTTTGGACAATATTGTGGAATGGTTTGTCGATAACACCAGAAACAGAAATCTAAAGTCCAATATTATGTTTTTTAACTTCTCTTTTACCATTTGGAAAATATGGTCAGCAAGAAATGCTTCTCTTCATACTGGGATCAGAGATAAACCTTCTTCTGCTGTGAAGGCTATTGTTTGGGATATGCTGCATTATCTCAACCTTTCTTTTCCAGACCTATTAGCTGCTATTAATTCCTAATGCTTTGCTCTAATATTCCATGTACTTTTGGCATTTGTTGGAAATTGGCTTACTCCATTTCAGTTTTGTAAAAGAAGGTATGCCTTCTTTCAACTTGTAATTCTATTTTATATTTATAAAACACCCCATTCAGGAAAAAAATAAAAAATAAAAAAATAAAAAATAAATAAAAAATAAAAAATACAAGCTATCAAACTAAACTATACTCTGAACTAATAAGTAATAAATGACAACAATCATGAAATCAGAGGGCCATGTAATGTTCACATTATCATAATTACCTTCGATACTCATAGTTCCATTCCTGTCAAAGTCGTACATCCTGAAAAAATATCAACATAACATCAACTGATAGAACATGTATTTGTATATGATTGTGTGTGTAGTTTCAGAGGAAGAAGGTAAAACCTGATCATTTGCTGAACAACTGAGATAGGGAATTCTAGGTTTCCAACGGCAAGAGCTCTCTGATCATAGGGAGGACATCGTTACAAAAGGGGGAGAGAGAGTAGAAAAAAGAGAACTGACTGATTGCTAGGGTTTTGAAGAGAGACAAACCTTGAGCTGAGCTGCTGTGATGCTTCCAGTTTTCTCCGAGTCAACTCGCTCGAACCACTCTTTCAGAATCACCGTGTTCTCCATTTTCAACGTACCGTGATCGGTTCCTTGGGTTGAATTCAATTAACCCTTGAATGACATTGTCGTCTTGGATCAGTCTTATTGCCAAATGACACCGTTTTATCTATTTATTTAATCCAGTCCTTTGAAAAGTAAAGGAGTTTATATTACTGTATTATTTGGGGGAAAAAAAAAAAAATCAGTGTATTATAAATAGGGTTAAGTATTTAAAACAACCTAAAGTTTATTTTTTGAGCAAATAATATCAGTCTTTTACCTAGGGTATATAAATTCCTTACAAAATTAAAAATATAACAAAGTAGGGCTTTTCGGGCGTGACCGTTAACAAACCATGTGTGTGGCATATGACTAATTAATTGTATTAAATATCGAAAATAAACTTTTTCAATGGAAAATAAAGATTGTTTAGTAAAGGTCATTATGGTCATTTTACAATAACTAAGATTTTTACTTTTAAAAAAATAATTGAGAAATGACATTTTAGTATTTTCATTAACTCATTAACATATTAATGGTGGGAGGCCCATGTTTGCCTCTAAAATGAATTATATGGGTTTTTGAGAACTTATAAGGGGTTACATGCCTTATATGCATACTTACATGATATTAAATGCCTTATCATTTTCAATTCATTTTTAATTAATATAGATAAAGAAAAATAATAATAAACTTACATTGTCATCCACCCGAAATTAAAATAATGTCAGCTCAAAATACTATAAAAAAAAATTATACAAGACAATAAAAAAAAAATTATTTTAGATAAAGCAAAAGCTTCACTAATTAGTGTTGTAAATAAATTTTGTTATGAAATTTTGACGGCATAATTTTCATACAATTCTTTTTCAAATGATTAAATATGTGTATCAATATTTATACATAATGAAGACAAACAAATAGAGAACTCATACCAACTGTCCTGAGATCATAGTAACATTTACTCAAAATGAACACCAATAAACTTTACCTAAAACACAACTAATACAATAATTGAGTTCTCAAATAATTTATGAAATATATATATATATATGTCTCCAGACTCCAATAGTCTATGTGTTCCTTTTCTTATTGGTTTTTCTTTTCTTTTTCTTTTTCAAAGAGTAATGCTACTCTTTGCACATTTGGTCATTTGAATGGAAAAGCAACTAGATTCATTAAGCAAATTATATGTTGTGTGAATCGTTGAATCGAATTTTGAAATAGTCATGTGCCGAGGCTAGATGATGCAGAGCAAATGGAAGAGGATTTTTTTTCAAACAGTTGAACATCTCAAGAAGATTGGACTGAAATTGCATTAATTGGGTTATTGTTTATGGTTTTAAGTCATTTAATTAAGACGTAAGTTTGTTTTAATTTCCCGCTTAATGTATACCTTAAGCTCATTCTGCTTTTATTTAGTCTCATGCTTACAAAGTAAGTCATGTGAAGGGCTATTTTGTCATTTTCAACATCTTTTATTTCACTGGACAGAATAATAGCTCCTAGATCTCTCGTGGCTTGTAAAAGGGTGGTTCCAAATTGTATTCAACAACCTTTTGGAAATTGACATATTTAGATTGCTATGGTATTTTTTTTTTTTTTTTTTTGGGGGGGGGGAGGGGGAAGAAAAGCTATTCTTTGTGGGTGTTTAAGATATTCTTTAGCCTAATCTAGGTCCGTAATTTTCTCTTCTTACATTTTTTTTCATAAGCAAATTGCATTAGTTGGTATCAGAAAATTCTAGTCTAGTGGTTTTGTGTTGGGTTATCGGATCTCTCTTAAGTTTTGTATCATGCCACCAACGAGAAGAAACTGATAAGTGTTGAATGTTGCATATTTGAGTCCTTAGACTTGCATATGTTAGTACTTTAGTAATGTTATGTAGAAGAAGTTACATAATTTCCTTGGTTTTTGTTATTTTTAGGAGAACACCTTCAAAATCAAGAAATTCTATCTATTTTAGGCTTTAGATGATGTTTCCAAGGATCAAGGAGAGTGTCGGCTTGCTCGGGATCAAATTAGAATTCAAACGAACCAAAAAGGAGTTTTCTCAGTATGGGAGTTTGAACTCCCAAATAGGGGATTGAACTCCCAAACAAAATATCAGACTAGGCAAAAGTTGCCTAAGGTGATCAAATGCCCAAGGCTAGCGTTCGAGCGCAAAAGGTTAGGCAATCGAATGCCCACTAATGGTGTTCGAACGCCCTAATGCTGGGGATCAATTCCTATTTCATGCGAGATTGCTGATTTTAGCCCTCTACAAGTCTTACATGGGACTAGACTTTTTCCAAAAAGCTGTAGCACAATTTTAAGGCCCATTTTAGTTAATAGAAGTCAAAATTAATAACTATTGATAATGAAACATCAATATTCTTTAAATCCATGATGACAATATTTATCTTGTCAAGGTATCCTTTCAAAATGAACCTTCGCGCATTTGAAAAGTGAACAATCGCTTATTTAAATGTAAGCGGTTCACAAGAGATTTCATCATATAACGAACTTCCAACTTCTTCCACGACTAATCTGGAGTGGTCCCTGGGAAACTTCTTACAAAACCTCGTTAGTCAGCCACAACAGAATTACACTGTGTGCTTTCTCCATAACTTCATCTTTTGTTTCATCCTTTCAACTTTTCAAGCAGTGTTGCCCTTCCCTTCAACACTTTGGATAACGCATGTTGAACGAATGAGGCTTGCATCCTAACTCGCCAGGTTTCCTTTAAACTTCTCACTTTCTAGAAACTTGGTTGCCATCCCTGCTTCGAACTAAAAGCTTTGATAGTAGTTTTTTTTTTTTTTTTTTGACAAACAACCGTGAACTAAGAAACAATCACGAAACACGACAAATAACAAGCACCACCCAAGACACAAAGATTTATGTGGTTTGACACAAGTTGTGTCTGCGTCCATGGTGAAGATCTAATGAACGATTTCACCAAGCGAAAATCAGGAGATTACAAGTTTCAGCCCTCAAACCCAAGCTCTTGCTCTCACTATCTTTTCTGCAATTTTCAGTGTTCTCTCTAATCCCACTCCAAACCCTAAGTGCCTTTATACCTGGCTACAAGAGAGTACTAAGTAGGGCCCAAAACTAGCAAGTAAAAAATGAGTTAAAAAATTTATTCTTTTACGTCAATCGACTAGGTTCAAAACAAAATTTGGGCCATAATTTCACATTGTGGTAATTAAGAGACCAAATCGGAGTCTTCTCTCCATCAATAGGTCTCCTATTTCTCTCGCTCCATAAACCCTTCCATAAACAAAGAGGAGTGGCCCTTCGACTTGGCTATCCACTATACACCCTCTCAAAGCTTAAACCATGTTCGCTATAGATCTGGGGGACACCCAATGCAAGTCGAACGCAACCAAGAACATAGACCAAACATCCCTCGCCACTGGACAATGAAGAAGGTGATTCATCGACTCTTCTGCCTTCTTGCATATGCAACACCCCAGTTCACCACAATCCGTCGGCTCCTTCTAAGATTGTCTAAGGTGAGAATCCTCCCAAAGGCAGTTGTCTAAGCAATAAAAAGACACCTTTAGAGGGAAATTCGATCTCCAAATGGCCATCCAAGGGAAGGTGGGACCCGGAATCTCCAATATATGTTTGTATGTCTGTGTGTGTGTGTGTGTGAAAGAGAGAGAGCATGAAACACCCATGTGGGCCTCTAAGATACATTGTTCTTTCCATGGTAGCCATGGTTGCAAACCACAAATCAGTGGAAAGAAAAGATAAAGAGAGATACATAGTTAAATGTGAAGATTAATCTGATTGATGTATAGGTATATATACAGATACATTTTTAAGTATTTTGAAATGATGGAGTGAGGAAGCAGGATTGAGAGTTGTAGATTGAAAAAATGAGGAGAAAGCTTTGTATTAAGCTTGGTTACTCTTGATTAGTAGTACTCTTGTAATTTTACAGCACCTTGTAAGATTATTAGCATCTTTTCGCACGAGGCAAAAGGGTAATTTAGTCTTTACATAAATATTCTTAGATAGTTCTAACAGTTAGTTAAGGGGAGGGGTTGTTGAGCTCACATGCCAAACCTCACTGGACTACGTTTAACTAAGGCCATTCTTGTATGGTATGTGTAATTTGACTGAACTTCAGGGAGGCCATGACAGAACTCGTATTCTGGATTTATTTATTTATTTTTTACTTTTTCATTGGAACCAACATGTAAGTATTTTTTATTTGGTGCTCTGTTTGTGGACTTGAATAGATTCAAAGGTTGTAATCTTGCCCCAAGCCCTGTATCCTAGTGGTATTGGGGGTTTCTTCTTATGTGACCACATTAATTGCAAATTAAGCCTTGCTAATATAGTTCATGGTTCTCTAAAGGAAAAAAAAAAGTTGTACAGAGTTTTCTATGAAATGCAAGAGAATGAACTGGAAAGTTTCATTTTACAGTATTACGTTACAAATAAAAAGATGTTTTTGCATCTGACCACAGAAGAGTGGAATTTTCTTCTCTTTATTTTTTGTTTTGTGGAAGAATACCACAAAAAGCATGACCTTTGCCATTTGATGCACTGTCTGCGTAGAACATACCACGTCGAATAGATGTATGGCATATCAGGTGGACCATATTGGGCCACGAACCATGGCTGCCACCTGTAAACCCACATGTCTTTACATGCATGGGCTCATTATCTGTGTATACTCCCCATCCCTTCCTATTCGTACATGTGGTAGAGTATTTACATATGTCATCATGGAATAATGCATTTGCACACTTGAATAGATTTAGGGCTATATGTTTAGTGAAAAAGCTTACCTAATTATAAACTATATTAGAGAGAAAGAGAAGGAAACACGAAGACCAAAATGTGGGGAAGAAAGTGAAAGATAGGAAGGTATGCATATGCTACACACATATGGTTTTTTAATTTTTGTAATGCATGATATTTGTCAAAACAATATCAAGTTGAAGTTGCCTAAGAACTCAAGGAGGAATATTGATGTCTGATGAAGAATATATATATACCATACACTTGATGCCTTGCTTAAAATGTTTGAGTTGCCCGTTTGGATCCTGTTGTTATTCTTGCTGAGATGTTTGTCTTTAGAGTTTAGTCATATCATTGGTTCAAATTCT